CTGTCAATGGTGGCACCCAGTCACCTCGCACTGCTGAACCGGTTATCAAGGTTCAACCACCGCGTCGAGAGGATCTTCAGCCTAGCTATGCGAGGGTTATCCAGCCGGACGATGCTGATGCTGACACAAACGGCTGGTATGGTGGCATGGTATGTTTACCTCAAATCCACATCCCATGCGCCACTCTAATATCCATCTAGATCAACACCCTAGGGGGCTGCATCGGTACCCTGGGAGCCATCCCCTGCTGCATCGTCTGCCCCAACCCCTACAAGCCTGTCAACCAAGGAAACGTCGGTCTCGTCACAAAGTTCGGACGCTTCGCCCGCGCCGTCGACCCCGGTCTCGTCTACGTAAACCCACTGTCAGAGCAACTCGTCCAAGTCGACATCAAGATCCAGATCGTCGAAGTCCCCAAGCAAGTCTGCATGACCAAGGACAACGTCTCCCTCCAGTTGACATCCGTCATCTACTACCGCATCACCTCGCCCCACAAGGCCGCTTTCTCCATTTCCAACATCCGTCAGGCGCTTGTTGAGCGTACGCAGACGACTCTTCGCCATGTTGTTGGTGCGCGTGTGCTGCAGGATGTGATTGAGCGTCGTGAGGAGATTGCTCAGTCTATTCGCGAGATTATCGAAGAGACGGCTCTTGGTTGGGGTGTCGAGGTCGAGTCTATGCTCGTCAAGGATATCATCTTCAGCCAAGATCTGCAGGACTCGCTCTCTATGGCTGCGCAGAGCAAGCGTACCGGAGAAGCCAAGGTCATTGCTGCGAGGGCTGAAGTTGAGGCTGCCAAGCTTATGCGTCAAGCCGCCGACATTCTCAGCAGCGCTCCAGCTATGCAGATCAGATACCTGGAAGCCATGCAAGCTATGGCGAAGTCAGCGAACTCAAAAGTCATCTTCTTGCCCGGTTTGTCCCCCCTGTACGAATACATATGAGACATAACTGACTCCCTTTTGCAGCTCAGAACCAGACGGTTCAGAGCGCGCTCGCTCAAGCCGACTCCGTCGGCGAAGGACCCAGCTCCCACGGCGCCAGCCCAATGGGTGTGCAGAGTTCGGCAGCACAGGAATACGGCGGCAACAGCCACGGCTTCCAGAGCGCCATCAACTCGCATGTCATTGAAAACATGTAGAGAACTGGCTTAACAAATAAGCTCTCATTCCTCTCTGTATTCATGTTGCTTTTTGGTTTCTTGGTTTGGTAAGCGATGACTACGGATGGATGGAAACGACGAGGCAGATTGATAAGAGTCTGATGATGGACTTGGGCATTTTGGTTTCCGCGTTTCTTGATACCCTATTCCGGCAGCAGTATTATCGGTTCACTCGCTACTCGTTCTGATAGACACTTTTACGATGATGATAATGCCTGATTATACCCGATGAACTTAGTCTCATTAGCGGTGAATGAAATCTTGCTCAATACTGATCTGCTAAGATAGGAATTGCCGCATACGAGGGGGGATTGAGAGATGGAAAAGGGCGCATGGCGCGCCTGGGAGGTAGTCACATCATCTGGCTAGGGCGATAGCAGGGTATACAAACTAATGTATTCATTACACTGGACTATCTCTCTATCTATCGGTCCCCTAAAAACTCATCGTCGTCATTAACCCCCACGATGCCTTCCTCGACAGTCACCGCCAAACGACTGAAGCATGGCTCGCGCTGCGTGACCTCATCGGCGCCAATACAAAAACATGTTAGCGCCAGCTACCAAGCATATATAATCTCTGCTTTCTGACCTTTTCTCCTCTTCTCGACACCCTCAAATGCATGAGTGACTCTCCAAAAAGAGTTGTTCGTTCGTAAATGACCTTTGGAAAGTGAAGTGGTTGGCGATGACATGAACGTTTTGCGCCAAAAACAAGTTGGCTTGTGGCCATGTGGCAGATACGATGCAACTCTGGGTGACTCGAAACCAACAATCGAATGCTATGTCGAGTCCAAAAGTGAAGTTTCATGTGTTCATTCATCTACTTCAGCGTACTGTACTTCTCCTCGACTCTTTCCAAACCATCCATTTACCAGGTTATGCCACCTTGTATACTCCAAAACGTCCAAGCTTACATGCCATGGTCGCTCACTCAAACGCACAATGCTTGGCTCCAACAGATGCTTTGATACAAAGGAAATTTGAGATTTAAAAATGGAATAGTAATAGGAGAAGCTCCAGCTCCCGCAAAATGATCAACAAGAATGGAGGGAAGAATAACAGGGTGTCTGACCAGAAACACGGACTTATGAAGGAAGAACACTCTTGTCGGTCGTTCCATTCCCGTTCCCTAGTATCGGTCGGGCCTCCTTCTGTTGTGGTTCGCCATATGCCCACTTCGTCGCTGCGTTGACGATGTTTGCGCATACTGGGTCAACGTGCTTAACCCATAATGCCGCGGTTCGGTATAGGATGTAGTAAAAGACCGCAATGGCGATAAGAATGTGCGTCGTCGATCCACGCTGGAGGTCCTGTTGCTCGCCCTTCTCGTTCCTCGGCGGGTTCATGGCGGAAGGTAGGTAGATCATCCACGTAAGCACAGACTTGATAAAAGTGTTGTGCAGCAGGTATACAGGGAAACTGACGCGACCGAGGAAGTTGAAGACAGGCGACGTGAGGAGTTTGCGTGCGTTCCTTGAGAAGAAGATTCCCAGCAGGACAAACGCGGCTCCCAGGTGGTCCCAGTATCTTCGGATATCCGTCTTATCGGCGGTCAAGCTGTGCATGATGGTGGCCATTGTGTGCGACCAGCGTGTGTTCTGGGCCGAGTCCTGGGGAAATCCAGCCATGAACATGCCGCAGATTATCATGATGGCGGGGATGGGGGCGGGTAGGACGGAGGTGGCGGCATCCTTGTAGTGGTTGTGCAACTCGGCTACAAACATGCCCGTGACGATGTTGAGACCCTTGATGGAACCAACTGTAAGGTCTGCTCTAGTTAGCGATTGCCCAATTCGTTTGCTGGCCGGAACTATACACACCTTTGCCGACTTGCCAGAAATACATGTACATGATGCCGTAGATGATGAACCGCGCTTTCGGTCGCACCAAAACCGTAGCAAGCATGGTTGTATAGACCATGAATGCGCCTTCCAAGAACATATGCAGTGTCCACTGTGTGCCATCGTACTCGTCCCAGCCGGTTGTCCATGTCTCTGTTTGCGCCCTGAACAGCGACTTGAAAGCCATCCACAGCGTAGGCTCCTGTCGGTGCCAACCCTGCCGTATCCACTGCGCATCGACGTGCTTCGTCATATGGTATGCGTTCGTATTCGCCATGAACCAGGTAACGATGGTCGCCGCCATGGTGGGGAGAATCAGCCGTCCTGAGCGCGCGAGCGCACTTCGTGCAATGCCGTGGAAGGCAGCATCGTGATTTCCCTGACGCGACTTGCTAATCGGCCCAATCGAATTGACATATCCAGTTACGAGGAAGAAGAGGGCTACGGCGCTACGACCTCCGACGGCGAGGCGGAAGAAGGGGAGTTGGAAGAGGTGCGGCGCGGATTTTGCGTCTGCGGCGGGCTGGTGTAGCCATGGTACAAACGCAGTACATAGGTGACCGCATACGACCATAAAGGATGCTATGCCTCGGAGGCCCTATAGCACACTGTTAGCCCCAGTTACACGACTGTGCTTGTGACGGCGGGTACGACTTACATCTATCCAGTTGGCGTCGCGAGGAGGCATGGTGAGAGAATGTAGCGTGCAAAGCCAAAAGAAAGTCTACTATTCAAGGAAGGTGAGGATTTAAGAACTATGGTATGTGCTCAGGCGCATTGCCGTGGCTTCGAGACTTGCTGATGCGTGCCCAGGTGGCTTGGAAGTTCCGCTGGTGCCGAATTCCGGGTACCAAGAAGGCGAAGAACAACGGCGCTCGTAATGATGGAATCGCTGCCGCAAAGATCAAGACGGTCGGCAAGAGGGGAGCAGAGGTCAGAAGGAAGTGTGAGTGTAAACCAGCGGTTTGGCCTTGAGAAGCCAATGCACCCTTGCCCTACCGGTGGGGGCTACATCTTTTCAGGAACGCGCACCCTGCAGTAGACGCGGCTCACTGGGCAGATGCTGGACAGTTGGATAATGCCAAGAGAGGCTATCGGGAAGGTCACTTTAGCACTCTCCTTTGGCACGCCATCAGTGGTTTGCGGGCGCGGCAAAAACCCCAGGTAATGCTTGAACTTGATGGCAAGACTCTACCACAGATCACCCCTGAGCCGCATTGAGGTTGGTGCTCATGTCGCGTGCCCGGGCAGATGAAGCGTGGAGCATGATGATGGAGGGAAACGGCATCCCGCGCTAACAAGCTGCATCTGTGGCCTTTACAACTCCATCGCGTAGCGCACTCCTGACGATGGTCCCTATATCTGGAACTCTCCGCTGGCGGATGTAACACAGCCATTGCAGCTGCACTTAGCCATGATCGTCCGGAACCGTTCCTTACTACAAGACCAAATTTAACGCATGTTACGAACCACGAGGCGAACATTCAGCACTCCGCAAAGCCAACTACCCGCGTATCCGGATCACGATAGCGGTACCACTGCTCATCGGCGCATGGAGGCGTAAGCTAGTGCGACGCCTCGTAGAATCAAGCACACGGAAGAACGTTTCGTTGTCTTGGCGGGCTGACGTGGAGGGCCGCTTTAACCGAGACTGCAACCCCTGAGCCAAGTTAGGGGTCGCTGCAACGCATCGTCATTTGCCAGAGCGTCCGTCTCCGATAGAGTGCCGTTTCAAACCTGAGCGGCAACAATGTCTTGTGTGTCTTGACAATCGCGCGGCAAACTTGCCAAGGCCTCACCGCGCATGCGGCTGGGTATACAGAAAGAATACGTCTTGTTACCCAGATGTATCTCTCCCTGTGTTCGCGCCCTTCTCGCGATAATCCGATTGCATTCTCGTAAAATTACAGGGCTACTTGGAAGAACGTATTTCCACTGTCACGATAAGTCAACTAATCATGAGTCAAAATTTGAGATACGCCTTCGACGCCTCTGTCATTGCACTCCACCCGCCTTGCCCATCGTAGCGTGTGGCAACTGCTCGAAGCCGCCACCCAGGACCGCAGGCAGCGTGCTTGCCGTACCTGGCGCTATCCTCGTCCACGATACCCCAATCGAGAAGCCGGACGCGTGCTCAGGAGCGATGACATTGTCATTGGCCTGACACAAGTTGGTTAGCAAATATCGGCATGCATGGCTGTTTGCCGGATCGAAGAGCCTTACATCAACAAGCAACCAATGTAGCTTCTCCTGCAGATATGTACCAACAACATTCTCATCCATACTGCGCAGTTCCCCCATGCGCATCCGGTCTTCCAGCGCTGCTGTCAATGCAACCACGCTGTTGATCTGCATCTCGGTCTTCACCTGGCCAACGGCATTCTGGAAACCTGCATATCCAACGAAACCAGGCTCAGACATCCATTCCTGAGTATTCGCGGGTCCATTGCTGACCTTCATGGTTGAGTCTAGGAAGACGAAAACCTTGGAAACATCCCCAGGACCTATGTGTTGCGCACGTATGACCACGGAGTACTGGTACTGGGAATCGTTGCTCTGGGGACTGGCAACATGCTGTTCGGCGCGTGCGGTCTCCCACGAGAACTGTGACGTTGCATTCGCCCCGTACAGTGCGTTCACTCTACCAGCCAGAGTGTCGGTTGCGGAGAGCCCGAGGAACTCAGGATACGTGGAGCCGAAGATTGTGTGGTCGCGAACAGAGGCTGAGGTCCAAAAGTCGCCTGCTGTATTGCGATGGAATGGATAAAGAGCTGTCGACGTCAACGTCATCAGATATCGAGTAAGCGGTCCGTGATGCACTCACGTGTATTTTCGTCCGCCTCTGAGTACGGTGCAGTTGCAAACGTCGGCCAAGGGTTGACGTGGCTCTCGACGAAGCTATCCGGATGAAGGTCTTGCCAGATGGCAAGCAATCGGTCGACGTTGCTGCAATAGTCAACACCCCACTAGAGTAGGTCGCGCGATACTTACGTATGAAGCAACCAGAAGATGGGATCAAATGCAGAGTACGCCGCATCGTACATGTGACCTCCACGGCCAATGGCATTATGCAAAGTATCATGCACCGACTCCAGACTATTCGGGATGGCGCCCTGAGCATCAGTTTCCGCCATGCTGTTACTGACGTCGAGATAATTTGCTTGCATGCCTAGCATCTGGTAAGTCTGCTGCATGAGGTTCACCCGATTGCTGTCTAGAGACTCCGCTACAAGGTCGTTCTGGGATTTCGCACTCACGGCCATACTAGCCGGGTATCGCTTTGTTGAATTCCAGAGTATCCACGGTACACTCTTGAAGTCGTCAACTGGCAAAGGATGGAAGTAGTATGCGTACAGCGGATTCGGAACGGAAAGTGTGGTTGTCGACTCTCCACTTGGAACTTCAATGTCAACCACTTCTTGTTGTACGATCGCGGGGAAGGAGCTCGTGTCCTTGGGCGGTACAGCAGCGGCGTCCCAATACGGCATTCGGAAGGTGCTTAGGGCATCGTACATTCTCTCTTTCGCTTCTCCCACCGGAAACTCCGAGATTGCTTGTTGAGCATTGGAGTAGAGCAGTTCCTTTTCAGAGTCAGTGAACCGGATAATTCGCAAGTCCCCTTCCATACTTCTATGAGGCCGAGATATGGTCTGTGCCAGGTGGGAAACAGGTTGCTGCCATGAGCACAGTAGCCGTTGCTTCCGTTCGGATGTTTGCCAACGTCATCCCATGGTATGTAAGGCCGGCCGTGTATGCCTGGTTTCGATCAGCATATCCCAGGATCGTATATGGTCAGATATTGCATGGAACAGTCACATAGCTTACCCGCAATCTGATAGTAAGAGAACTTGTCGTATTGACCTACGCTCTGCAGCCGCCGCAGTCCTAGCAGATAGACGTTCAACTGATCTTTGTTCCGCTCTAACTCTCGTATCTCTAATCGAGGATGTATGGTATCGACACCCAGTCCACGAACGCCAAGGATAGGATGTATTGAATTCGCTTGTCGTGTTTTACCGCCCTTCCTTGGAACGGCAGTTGAGTTTGCTGGGGCATACAACATGGAAACGCAAATAAACAACCAAAGCGCTCTGGCGAGCATCCTGAAAGCCACCAAATATTGGCTAACGCAAGAAGCAAAGTGAGTTGTCGAGAGCGCGGACACTTTTGCGAGAGAGCAGCATCAAGTTCTGGGGGATTTGAGACGAGTACAAGACGAGCCTCCAAAAATGGCACAACGAAAACAATTGTGAGCTGATCCTACATTGACAGTATAAACGTTGCACACGCTGCTGATCAGCTTGTTCTTTATCGTGCATATGTAGCTAAGCGTGATATGCTTACACTGGTGATCAAGCCTGTGTAGTACTCGACGCGTAAGGACTGAGTCGCAGCGAAACGGCTGACTGGTACAGGCTCAAGAAGCACGCAAAGTGCTAAACATAGTATGTAATCTCGTGGATTGAATACTAATACAGGGCAGTTTATAATAACACAAGCTCGGTGTGGGAATGAGAAAGCACCGCATTAATGTGTCAGATTTTTGGGCGTTCACTCATCTTGTTTATTCTACACGGCATATATGGCAAGCGGCTTCGCGATTAGAATCTCTGCAATATGCTCGTAACTGGATAGTCAAACCAGACCTATTCACCTAGTTTGTTGATGCGGCGTTAACTGGCTGCGGGTTAGCTGTACACCACGCTAGTCGTGACCTCAACACCGCCATGTTGCGACACTTTGCTGACGACCCAGACCACATTGGCCAAACACAACGTTGCACCTTCCTATTCGAGTTTCGGTGTGGCTTCAGCCATAAACTGAATTGCAAACCTAGCAAGAGAATATCGCCTCTAGAATTGTGTATATGAAAACTTTCAGCCTGATAGTAAGCCATGGATATGCAAAGAGACGCCGTCGACTCCAAGTCATACAAAACGTAATAGTACAGCCACTAGAATAGTACTCAACACACAAGGACACCGGCTAGTCCAGCTTCAAATCCATATTCGCGTACGCATACTATGCGTGGTCACCCTCACCAGTCTCGTCGTGATGCATTTCAGTCCCGTGAAAAGCATCGCCGAACGCCGAATCATCGACAAGGTCCAAGCCCAGGTTGTCATCGTGTCCATAGTCGGCCAGAGCGTCTCCAGCACTATCAATGTTGTCGAAACTTCCAAAGTCGGCGGTGTCGAACATGCTGCCTGCATCAGCGTCGATGTTGGATTGAGGCATCCCGCCAACATTGTTCGGGCGCTGGTTGTTGCTCATGTTTGGCTGCTGAACACCGCCGGCTGGCTGTTGGGCATTGCCTGACTGGTCGTTCATCGTCCAGTCATCAGTCTTGTCTCCTGCACCCGCCATGCCAGACATTTCTACATCCAGATCCAAAAGATCGGCTCCTACATCAAGGCTTGTATCCTGTTGATCGAATGCCGACGACTGGTTCATGTTGCCGTGTGGTACATTGGGTGTACCGGTGGCGGACTGCGATTGACTCGGTGGTTGCGATAGTCTAGGCAAGGACATGTTGCCGATAGGTGTGCCAGAAAGTGATCCCGACCCATATTGATCCAAGAGGTTCGCGGCAGAGTTATCTTCCATTGAGCCCTGGTTGTTCATGCCATTCGATGTGCCGTTCGCTTGCTGTTGGGCTCCGTTGCCGTTCATCTGCGCTTTTGGAGGTGAGGGTTGTTGTACTTCAATGAAACCACCCTTGTCTACACAGACAACCGCCTTCTTCTCATCAAACTTAACACCCAGCGACTTCTCCAAATCTTGTACAACTCCTTCGACCGGATTTGCGTCATCACCGTCGCTCTCGGTGGAGCGAGATAGGTCTCGTAGTCGGCGTTCGGCTTTGATGTAGGTCCTGGTGCGCTTCAACTGTGCCACCTTCTTCGCGTGCTCGGCCTTCATTTTGTCGATTTCAGCCTGCTCGTTCTTCGTGTACTCTGCTACGCGCTTCTCGAAGTCCTTGAGTTGGTCTGCGTCCAGCTTGTAGTAGTTCTTGATCTGGTAGTTGTCCTTTCCTAGCTCCACGTTCTCAGCTCCCGGGACGTCCAAGATACCAGCAGTAAGTGGAGCAAGCTCGCCCATGAGGCCTAGGCCTAGATCGATGGGCGCAATCTTTCCAACAGCGTACGGCGATGAGAAGATCTCCTCCATCCACTCGTGATGCTGCTTGTAGCGCGACAAGCTGATCTCGCGCGGAGTGAGGAAATCGAAAGCATCTTGTGTCGCGTTCTCCTCCTCTTCGAGAGTGTTGTCCGGCGCAAGCGCGCCTGCAGCGGGTTGACGGGGTTGAGGTTGTGTCGGCAAGCGCTGGCGTTTGGCTGGCGGAGGTTGTGCAGGATATTGCCTGCCTGGGTACATGGGGTTGTAGCCCTGTGGCTGAGGGCCTCTCATCGCCTGGTGTCCAAACTCGACTTTTGGCCAATTCGCCTGGTCGACCAGCATGAATTCCTTGCGCATCAACGGTCCAGCTTGCTGTAGTTGAGCGCGCATCTGGAACTGAGCCTGGACCTCTCGTGGGACGGGTATTTGGGCGGCGGGCATTCTGCTTTGTGGATCTGCGGGCTTGTAGTGTACAAGCCAGAGATTGGGATCGATGTTTCCAGGACCTGCGGCGATTCGATAGCGATGGCGCGCGTGTACGGCATATGGTTCGCCGGGGTAGTGGTAGCCACTGTTGTGGACAAGGACTTGGAGAGTCTATAGGGTGTTAGGCATTGCGCGCAAATGACGCCTTGGTATACATACGTATCCGCGTACGTTCATATCGTATGCGGTCTCAGCATCAGCCCACACCATTCCATCCGAGGCGAACATGGTGCCCATGCGCGGGGGCTGCCATGTGAGGATGACAGTGCCATCTTGGGGAGGGGCTGCGAGGTAGGTCCACGCGACGGGGGACGTGTCGCGCACGATTTGGGGACCTTTGATGAGGTACTCGAGGGCTTGCGGAGCTTGGAGGCCCGGCAGAGTAGGGAAGCGGTACGAGGATATCAGGTGCACATGGGGAAGGAGGTGGTTCGGCACCTGCGCACTCGGGTCGGGGGCATGGTAGGCTTGGTTCATGCCGTACATGATGGCGGAGATGATGCGACGGGATTGCCGCGTCGGTCGGGTCGGTTTGGGTGGTGATGCAGCGGGCGCGAAAGCTGGGGTTGGTTGATGTCTGGAATCTTTGGCGCGTTGGGACCGCGCGACTGCCAAGATGTCGTCGTAAGCGGTTAGCGCGGTACTCGGCTCCTACGAACACATGTTCGACTGCACGACCACGGTGTACACAAAGGTGCTATCTTTCTGTATGTTAGTGAAAGATTTATGGCGCATAGTTTCAGAGGGGACTTGCTTCGTACGCATTAATCAGCATCGTCGAGGATGTTCCCCTTTGCAGCCGGCCCTGAGCACCTGGAAGATCCTACCTAGGTATTTCAACCTTCCTGTATCATCGGAGCGCTAAAGTCAGCTTCGAGCACTATGTCTATGGTCTTGTATTGGAAGTATTCTTGCATAATGCTCCGGTGTTGACCTTTACCTAGGTACTCATTCTGCACAATTTTGAAAGGGTGGTATTTCGAAGGTTCAATACCAACACTAAAATCAACAAACTATCGGGCATTACTGGTGCGTCGCTAGGTATGAATTACGCAGCGCCATGTTGTGGTCATATACAGCAAAACTGGATGCAAGGAGGGTAGGAAGGCCTCCTCTTGCGAAGCCGTTGCATCCTTCCCCCTCAATCTACCAATATCTGGACGTTGAACCTCTGCAATGAGCCTACCTACAACCAAATGTGACGTATCCGAGGATTACCCTGAGCTTTTCTTGTGTGTGAGTAATTGTACAAGTCTTTAGCAAAGGGATAAGAAACTGCCCCATAAGTGATGACGAGACCGAGTGAAATATTCGCGTGAATTAGCCATCCCAATGAAAGATGCAGCTTTGACTGGCGGCATATTTCGCGAGTCAGCCCCACAAACTTGCATGGTGTTTTCGACGAGAACGGCTAAGTCGATTGAGTGGGGGTAAAATGTCACCAGCCCGTAACACGAATTTTTATCAGGCCTCGCTCACTCAGGGCGTCGAACCCCAAAATAACGATATAAACGTTACAATTTGGCGACTTTTCATCAATCACCGACCACCGATCACCGCTCATCGCCCGTTTGGGCGACGGTGAATACGGCGGTCCTCTTGGCAAAAGAGCAAAACCGGGCTTGTGGTTTAGTGGTATAATACTCCCTTAGCATGGGAGTGGTCCAGGGTTCGATTCCCTGCAAGTCCATCTTTTTGCGCTGCTGTACCGTTCCCTAGATGGGGGAGAGTGTTGAGGTGTGGTGAAGGTTTGGGATTTTTTTGCGTTTTTTGTTAAGACGGGCATCACGACTCGTCACTCTACGCAGGTGGTGCAGATTCTTTGCTCAAAAGTCGCCCTATGCTCATTTCTACAGCCATCGTATGATGATGTCTTTATTTTGCAACCGTTTTGTCAGCCTCAGGCGTCTGGTGGTTGTGGGCGGCATTACAAAATCGCGCTTCTCCAACAACCCCGTGGTAAAAGATATGCGACACCAGCTGCATACTGACCAGCGTGATCGATCAGTGTAGCGCATCG